TTAATCTGATAATTTGTGATCATTGTTGCCTTAATATATTTAATTAATAAAATATATTCTTAATTAAATATTACACAAACAAAATATAACAACGTCTAACTTTTGAAGTTTAAAACATTGTTTCTTAATTTTATTTATAAAATAATTAATTAAAATCTATTTCATTAACTAAACATTATTTTATTAATAAAATATATTGAAGATCACAATTCTATACCATTTTGGTCACAAATTATTGAATTAATTGTTAATAAATTATTTTTCGATCACAAATAAAAATTTTTATATGTTACAATTTACTTATCGATTACAAATCAAATATTTTTTTATTTATCAATTATAAATTACAAATTTTTTAAGTCGCGACTCAAATTTTATGTCACATATTATTTATTTGTTACAAAATGTCCACTTTATTGGTGACAATGTCAAATAATTGGTCGTGGTCACAAATGAACCAATATATTGGTCATATTCAACTATCTAGTCAACTAAATAATTACTCACAAACACTCTCACCCCCACACCATCCCACTCATAACCATCACCATGACCACAACCACGACTGCTAGACCCATCGTGCTAGCCAACAACTTCACCTGCACTACAAACAAAAACCATCCCAAACCTCAACAACACCCAAATATGAAAACCACCACCAGCATTCCTCAACAACCAAAATTGGAGGAAGAAACCAACCCAAAGCCTCAAAACCATTGCCACTGCACCGCATTCTCCACCTACCCTGCACCACCACCACAAACATAGCCACCATCTGTTACAGCTCACTCAATTACAGTCAAAGTCAATGAATTATATAGTCAAAGTTAAAGTCAAATAAGAATTTAAGTTGGAGGAATGATTTTCACGGGGTTTAAATCTGAAATTGCTAGTACTTAAGAGTGCCTGAAATGATATAAAAATAAATTTTGGGATTTAGCTTTTAGTATGATAAATAAGATGACTAAATGTTAAATTATATAAAGGTTGAAGACTTGTATTGTAATTATGTTATGGGGTGAAATATGAAATACCTTAATTTAATATTTAAAAAAAAAAGAGAGAGGAATAAAAGAAAAGAAAAAGGAAACTGTATGCGGTTATGCCCAAAACAAATCCATTCCCATTACATTAATATATATATGTAATCCAACACCAAAACACACACAAAACACGTATAGAGAGAGAAAATGAACTAGAAAGAAAGGGAACAGAAAAGAGAAAAGAAAAAGAAAAAAAAAAAGGGGGGGGGGGGGGGGGGGGGGGGGGGGGGGGGGGGGGGAAGATGAAGAAGAAAAAAAATAGAAAATTTTTGTCAACGTGTTAGGAATTAAGTGGTCTACATTATTAGGTTTGAATTCCTTAACTTTGAAAGGTAAGTAAAAAGTTACTTATTATCAAGTTATGTTTGATTTTATAGCTGTTAGATTGTTAGATTAAATTTAATTTTATTGAAGGGCTTAAGTGTAATAAATTATGAAATTGAGTAAGATGAAAGGAAAACAAGTTTTAGTTATTAAAGAGACAGTAGAAATCTGCCAAACGTGAAATGATTAAATTTGGGTATCGCCTATTTAATTATTGAAATTATTTAAAATAATTAATTATTTATTTAAAAATTATATTATATTTCAGGCGGCGATACGAATATCGGGACGGCGTACTAATCGAGTTGATTTTAGCGTACATAGTTTCGTTGCAAGTATGTATTCGAATTAAATGGTTATTATGGAAATCTCTTTTATTATGATACATGTGGAATATCCAAGATTATTTATGGCATATTTGTGACTTGCTAAATAAGACATGTGATATTGAGATTTGTTTGGTATGTGAGACATGTAATATTGAGATTGGTCAGAAAAGTACTCATGATTATATACTTCTTCTAGTTCACAGAGGGGCTTTGGCTGTGTTTTTATCATACACAGAGGGTCTTGACCTGACATTGGTCTTGATCGTATACATATAGTTCACAAAGGGGTCTTGGCCGTGTTCTAAAATTTATTATGAGAGGTCTTTGAGACTGGCTTTTATTTACGGAGGGGGCCAAAGGCCCGTGGCGAAAGTTCTTAGCCCGAGAGACGGACTACATAGTTCAGTCAGAGGGTACATTTTTGGTGAGTTTTTCAGCACGTTTGATGTGATGAGATTATAGCATGGTTATCAGCTGATATTTATATCATGATTTTGAGATGATATTTTACGACCTTATGTGAATATTTCACTTTTGGTTATAGTTACATGATATTATCTTGTGAACTATTAAATGATATAAACATGATTTTTGATAGAAATGTAAAATTGAAAAAGTATAATTATTTTCGAATTTCTCCACTCACTGAGCTATCAACTTAATATATTTTCCCACAATTTTTCCTACATATAGCAATTGATTCTTTTTAGTTGGAAGAGCCTAATGATTTCGGAATGAGAGCCACACGACATGTTGAATATTATAGCTCATATTGATGAAGCACGAAGTAAATATTTTGGGCTCATCGCATTATATTTTATATAAGCATTTGATTTTGTTGCATTTTTTTGAAATAACTCATAGTCAGTTTTGGTGATAGATTTGACATCTAGTCGGCATATATCATCGGCGCACGACACGTTTCGGGTTCACTAGGGTGATTTGGGACAGGTCGTGTCACCATCACCGCATACTCTAAAACTCCAACTAAGCAAGTTGGAGGAAGAACTACTTCAAACCATCGTTGCAACACGCCACCTCCACCCACCACAACACCACCACCATCACTAACATCATTGTACACACCACACCACATCACATACATTATCGTTGCACAGATCCACACAAAGCCACTGCATAACATGCATCAATGCACATACCACCACACACAATGCACCACCGAACACCACAGACACCATACAAGTCAATTCCCAAGTACCCACTCGCTAGCTTGTAGATTTTTTGTAGGCTACACTATATTTATTTTCCAGAATAAATATAGAGAATGTGCCAATGGTATCGAGAGAAGAGAGAAACATTGCTATAGAAAGAGATTAGAGAGAAGGAGTCGTTGAGAAGATGGAGAGGGGGAGAAGAGAGTGGAAATGGTTTTTAGAGTTTGGGAAGATACTGAGCCCTTGTTTGAGCTCCATTCTTTTGAAAATAATGCATTTTTGAACAGTATTTTGACATCATTCCAACCATACATTTTTCAATAAAAAAATATTACACGTAAATTCAAAAAAATTTCTCTACTTTTTAACCGCACATTTTCTATTAAAACACTATTCAAAAATATATTTCCCTCCAAAATGGGGCTCAAACAAGGGCTAAATTGGGGTTGTGGTACATTATTTTAATTTTATAATATTATTATTAATATTTAAAAATTTAAATTATCTGATTTTTGAAAATGAAACTTGTAAATCTTAATTTGAATTGGGAAAGTTAAAACTCTGATCATATATAATTTTCACTTATTCTAAAGATTGTGGTTGCTACCAAGACATTGTTTTGGGCTGTTAAGAGAATCATACTTGGCCCTATAACCACATGCAAGTCGTGGTTTGGTCACGTCTTTGGACTCTGTGTCGTGCAACAAAATCTCATGCAAAACAACCCACTCAACTAGATGAATAGGTACGACAAAATATATTGGGGTTAATTACACAACTATGAAACATTTGGGAGACAAATTTTAAAAAATTAGGTTCATCAAAAAGTGTTTCAAAAATTAAGTGTGCGTCAAATTTTTCATTTTATGTTACAATTTATTTAACTTTTTTTATGTGTATATTACAACGAATTTTGAGAGATTTTAATTTAGTATGTTACAATAATTGTAACTCACACTCTATATATAATTTCTTTCAATTGTAACATGCAATGTGTTATTGTTGTCACCATTATGTAATTTCTGTAAAATTGTAACTTAAAATACGTGTTTTTGCTATTACAATGCGTGTAATTTCTTTAAATTTGTAAATTGAAAATTAAATCCAATTCCGTTCTAAATTATACCGATTCTTGATTTCATCTACACCTCACGCTATGTCCATCAATAAAAATTTGCCATCAAACCAAGATTTAATTCTTGAACTTTTCAGTAATAGTTCAAAAATTTTCAGCAGATTAAAATTAGATGCTAAAA